AGACAACCTCTCGTCAATATGCGTTTTTCGCATTGCATTGCTGCAAAAAACGCATAAAAACGGATTGGCCAGCTGATAATGTCGAAATAGTACTGCACCCACCTGAACACACTGAAATTGAGCATACTTTTACTTCCAAATGGAATTCAAAATATTTCAAATAAATGACAGCAGTTTGATAAGTAATATTTTGAAGCAAAGAACTTTATGTAGTCATACTTAGCAGTTCAACGGATCCTTGCGTATGTATGAGAGCTGTAGATTGTAGTATGTTTTGCTCATGTCTGGAGTGGCGCTTGTGTATATATCTGAGGTGTAAGTTTTTTAACGCAATTCCTACCCAAACCTGGCTTTTTTTTAAAAAAAAAGGAGCAGAAAAATTTGTTTGTAGCTCAGTTGGCCATCGGCGGCTTCTCTTTTCGAATTTTAAGAAGCGAGTTGAGGAAAGCCCGAGTGAGAACGTGCATATTTCTCGGTTGCCAGAAGATATTACTGGTGTACCACCAAATCATCAAATTTCAGCGTTTTAACTGCAATGTGTCAGTAGTGGAAACTAATGTGTACGCTTATCGTTGGTACCTAAGTAGGGCTCATCAGGGTAAGGATCGGCGTGTGCGGATTTTCTGGAATAAAGATTTCAAATCAACAGTTCAGTATTGGAAGGATCGGAATTACCAGTTCGATGCATTAATTACTGGTGGCATAATTATTCCAAACTCCGCCAAGCATCTGAAGGTGTTTTATCAGTCTCTCTTACAAAAATTTTATCGTTTTTCACCATACGTTTTCGTTCACTCCAAAATATTCTTCTAGACTTTTTTCTGAAAAAATTCCCGGCATCTATTTTTTAGTAAAAACGCATTCACTATTTCCAGGATATTTTAAATGAGGAAGCACCAATAATAATGTTAACGAGAGCACATATTTACAGCACAATGTTGCATTCAATTGAAGAGGTAATTTGCCTTTCCCAGTACTCTGAGTAGCATCAATTCCAGTCATATAAATTAGGATTTATGCTGGTTTCAGGAACTGTTTCGTGGCAAACGCATGGTACTTGAAGACGGCTTCAAACCGGAGAAGAAGTTTATTCCTGAAGTTCTCACTGTTCGGGTTTGGTTTCCTGATTTCTCTCCAATAAACGTCTTCTCAGCAGCCAGCGGTCAAGATAAATCGCCATGCATTAAGAAGTGAATTGGTTGCTTTTTTAAACCAGATTTTTGCAGGCTCAGTTGGATGCAGTAAAATGTGGTCATCTGATTTATCACTGTAACTATCAATCTCGGATACATAACTTAAGCCTTTGAACAATGGGGAGAAGCCCAACCGACAATACCGACGTGTCCGCATTTGTGTCGCACAAAATAGTAATTTTTTATTGTACTGGTTTTCCGGAATTCCGAAATTTTTCTTCTATTTTGCAGTCCTCTGGTTATCACAAATGTTCTTACTATCTCAGTAGTGTTTTTTTATCACTTGTAAGTGTGCAGTTAAGTGACTATTATTGTTTTTCAGAGTGCATGAATTCACTGTAAATAAATATTTTTGATTCAGTATCAATAAAGGATCTTATTCTAGTATCCCTGGACTACTTGAAGTAGAAGCGAGATATGCAAACTACAAAAATTTGAATGCTTTTCAAGCAGTACAAGTGAAGGCACATAATCTGACGAAGCACCTGCACTTATTACCATAGCTAGCACTCAAATACATAACATCAAGAGTAACAAAACAGCCGAATAGAACACGCTGTTGTGGGTATCTCATAGAAAGCGCTGTTGTGGGAAGAGCCTTGCGCAGTTGCGTTCGTCATCTAGTAATAGTACTAGATGTTGAACGCAACTGCGCCAGACTCTTTGGTTCTGGACTGCATATTTCTAATTAATACCAACTACACGCTTGAACTATATGCGTTCAACTCTTCGAGGCCATAAGAGTAATCAAACTACATAATTTTAATGTCAACCCAGGCTGGAACGCGCCGGGCGGGCCCGTGCGATCATACGTTTTCTCTCCGGACTTGAATTACTCAGGTCATTTACTGTATGAATGGCTGTTGCTTTATACTTACCTTTTACGGTCACTAGCATAAGTCAGCATAAATTTTGCAAAGTCAAAGTACAATTTCTATTTAACAGTCATTCTTTAAAAGTAACCTGGTTGTTCAGTGAGAAATTTTTTCGTCAGGACTTTTAAGTGTCCGTACGTAAGAACCACGCATAACTCAAGGCTGAATTTGAAATATTTAAGTTGTACTTGGACAGGGAATTTCCCCTGAAATTTCGACTTTCTAGCTTTTCTGATTCCCGAGTTAAAATTTTCATGCAGAAACTTTCTTATGCCCTTACGAAAGTGCCACGCATAGATTGGGGCTGAATTTGAAACATTTGTGTTGCATTTGGACAGGAAACATTCCTTTAAAATTTTAGCTTTCCAGCTTTTCTGGTTATCAATTTAGCAATTTTCCCGCCAAAACCTTCACATACTTGGGTTATCCACGTGCTTAGAAAGCTGAATTTGGTATTTTTAAATTGCACTTGGACAGGGGACATCCGCTTAAAATTTCAGCCTTCCAGCTCTTCTTGCCGAGTTAGTAATTTTTCTGACTTTCATATGCTCTTACGTGAGTACCATGCACAGCTTGGGGCTGAATTTGAAATATTTGAGTTGCAGTTGGATGTGGGACATCCCTCCAAAATTTCGACTTTCTAGCTTTCCTGGTACCCGAGTTGGCAATTTCCCCCCTAAAACTTTCATACGCCCTTACGTGAGTATTACGCATACCTGGAGGCTGAATTTGAGGTCTTTAGCTAGCACATGCATAAAAAGTTTCGGTCCTTTAGCCCGTATAGTTCCCGAGATCGCTTTCCCGCCAAAAAAATTGTATATTTTTAAAGCGTCTGCATGCACCACCTAGGCGCCCGCTGGGGATGAAATTAAGACGCGCATGGTATGGGCACATATCCCCAAAGTTTCAGCCTTCTAGCTTTTCTGAGTCTCGAGTTGAA